CTCTTTGGGCCCCTTGGTACCAATTGAGCATCGTTGCAACGCCACAGCCTACCTGAGTATTGTTGCTGACCATGCCCATCCCTTTATGACCACAAAACCGTTACTAGCGTGGTGTACCTAATAAAGTGGCCGGTGAGTGTATTTTAGAAGTATTTATTTTAAGAGTTTACTCAAAAAGTTCTCACAATATACTGTGTAACGTACACATGGGAATATTTTAAAAAGTATTATAGTTTGACAGGGTCATGTTCAAATCTCATGTTAATAATGTGAGGAGGAGAAATCAGTCAAATGAGTTGTGTATTGCATGAATGAATATATGGATTATCTGTCATTGGATCTGTCTAAGGATACTTGAAGGAAAGGATTCTTGAAGGATATTATCAAAGTAGTAAAATATTTTGTTTCAAATAAATTAGCTTAAATCCTTTTTWTACAAGTGAACATCAGTGAATTGTGATAAACATATTTCCTGCTTCTCTTGTCTAGACTGGATGAGGAGATTCGATCAAAAAAAGATGCAGAAAAACTCTGTGAGGAGTTGAGAGTGGTGAGTTCTGCACAGTTTTTTCTAAATACTGTATTACAGAACAAAACTGACGTAGACAAAAAAAATTTATATATACTATTGCTTTGATGTGTATCATACTGTGTTGTTTTAGTATTTCTTTTAATTAATTAATTAATTTTGCAAAATGGAGYATTCTGTTAAAATAAAACACTCTGGATCACTGCTCCTAAAACTTTGGCTAAAAGGAAATAATGAAGATAATTCCTGCCAGATTTTTATTATGATAAAAAAAACAAAGATCAATCTTTCAAAATTTAGTGCATTTATGTTACTTGTTAAAAAACACGATTTTCTAGCTGCAGAACTCTTCGAGATCTTCACCATAAGGTTTGAAAAATGGGCTCATTTTCYGAAGGAGTTGTATGTGTACAGCTGTATCTAGGAGTTACCCATTTCTGTAATCTACAGACAATAGGTCTTTGTTCATTCTGTGCTATTTTACAATGAAAATGAAAAAGCACAATGAAAAGGAGAACAAATGTAAGAGAGAATTGAGATGATGAGACAAATATGTGATTGTTAAATATTTCATGACATTCTCTTCATTTGTTTAGAAGCTCTTGAAAACAGCTGACAAAGAAGCATAAACTAGTTGGTGTTAGGAGGGTGAATGTAGTTAGATATAGGGACATTTCCACAGTGAACTATAGCTGTACTTCCATCAACATGTTTTATGTGTGTTTTGAAGTGTCTCATTTGTATTGGTAAAATACAAAACAGCTTTGCAAAAAGATTTTATACTCGCTCAAAGGCATAATTTGCAGGGGGTTTAGGGGGGTTATGACCCCCACAAAAATTTGATCCAGTCAATATAAGCCCACCAATAAAATGGCATCATTTGCTCAAACACAATAGAAACTAGACATGGGTTTTTACGATGTAAAAACAAGTGTGCATTGCCTTGTAGCATGTCATTGCCTGCAGCAATGGACTTGCAGAATGAACTGACCAAGTTCAAGTGTGTTATCTAATCAAGTACCAGCTTGTGGCTGTCAGCCGGTGTTTGTAATGAGGGTAATTGTGTGAAAATATGAAGTTAGAATAAATTTTTTGTTAAATTTATTGTAGCTGGGATTTGAACCCTGGTCTCCCACATGAAAGGCTATGGCATTAATCACAAGACCATTGGTGCCAGGAGAAAGTACAATCCCAGTGTTTTTTTTTCTATGTGTGTAGATAGAGGCAACATTGCCAATGACGATCGTTGACAAAGAACTACATAATATTACAACAGTAGAACAATATTATATAAGATGTTTATGCTTATAAGACAATAATATAGTAATACATCAAATTATATATATATCAATATTGTAATCACTGCAATAATTGAGATTAAATATAATTATTAAACTATGGTGCAGTTCCATACTGAGTAGATACAGCAGGGGGCAGTATTGGACCAATTCAAGGTCCATTGACTCCCATTATAATTTATTAAACATAAATATTTCAAAAACTATAAGTTGTACAGGCACCAAAAGGCATAGCCATCATTTGGCACAGGAGCTTTACAGATATAAATTACAATGGCAGCTCTAGGACAAAGTATGCAGGAGGAGAAGCATGGCGAAGTGGAGATGACTTGGATGGGAAACGAATCACAATAGTGTGCGATTAACTGGTTTAGTAGACAGATGCAACTTGCATTTTTTACGTAACTTTGACTTCATTTAAAAATGTACAATGTCATATATGTATATTTAAGTACAATTTCTGAAAATGACATGCAGGGTTTTCAAGCATAACCCCTCAATGGTAGACCTAAAGTTATGCCCTTGTACTTGCTTGAGGTGATTTTTGGATTTTCCAAACGTGAGTTAATTAAAGGGGAGATGGAAACACACTTGCTGAATAATTTCTGATGTAGTGAATATTTACAATTGATCAACTGTTCCTGGTGTCCAGTAGTGGTACAGGCTGCTGCTATAGGCCCTTCTCCCACTGTCGGCATCTTTTCAGATATTCCTGGAAAAATGAAGTGGAACATGATTACATTTATTTCTTTGCATATCTGCACAGCATGTAACATGGTCCATACTAGTTGACATGACAGAATAATGAAATGGTAAATGGACTGTACTTATATAGCACCTTTCTATCCAACTAGGATACTCAAAGCACTTCACACTACAACCTGTGTCCTCATTTATCCATTCACACATCATTCTAACTTGTATAAGTCAACTGTGGAGACTAATCAGTGCTTTCAATCACATTCATACACAGTGTCTTGCCCAAGACACAACAGCTGAGATAGATGGAACTGGGGATCAAACTGACAACCTACTGTTTCAGAACAACTCTCCTAACCACTCTGTTACAGCCCTCCAATAATTACAACTTGCCAGATAGCAACACATTCCTGATAACTTCTCTCCATGAGATGTGTGGACCCTGCAAGTTTGTGACTTTACTTCCTGTTTACTACAGCCCTAAAGAACGTCAACACCTGATGTATTTACACTTTGTTTAACCTGGTTAATTCGCCAGTAGATGGAAACATGCCTGATTTGCATTTCTTTTTTTTCTTTTTGCGACAAGTTTGCTCAAAATTTGCATTAAAACTGGATGGAAACACAGCTTTTGAATCTAAAAAAATTTATTCTATTTTAATGTCAGACTGAACTTTGATGTGATGAGTAAATTTTCCCACACTGAATGCTGTGTATTTATCAGTTGTGATTGTGATTCGTTTCCCATCCAAGTCATCTCCACTTTGGCACGCTTCTCCTCCTGCATACTTTGTCCTAGAGCTGCTATTGTAATTTATATCTGTAAAGCTCTTGTGCCAAATGATGGCTATGCCTTTTGGTGCCTGTACAACTTATAGTTTTTGAAATATTAATGTTTAATAATTTGTAATGGGAGTCAATAGAACCTTGCATTGGTCCAATACTGCCGCCTGCTGTATCTACTCAGTACTGAACCATAGTTTAATATTATTTGATCTCAATAGTTCAGTGGTTACAATACTAATATTGTATTTTGATGTTTTACTATAATGTTGTCTTCATACTGCTCTATTGTTGTAATATTATACAGTTTAGTGTCAATAATTGTATTAGCAATGTGACCACTTTCTGCACACATACAAACCAACCCCTGGCACCACCCTCGGCTACAGCTCCAATGGTCTAATGATCTGTGCCATGGATTTTCATGTGGGAGAGCAGCATTCAAAACCCAGCTAAAGCAACTTTAACAGATAAATCTCTACAAAATTCATATTGTCACACAGTTACCCTTATTAGAGACACCTGCTGACTTGACAGGCACAAGATGGTGTAGAAAACATGTTTGAATTTGGTCACAGTTCATTCTGCAAGTCCATTGCTGCAGGCTATGACATGCTACAAGGCAAAGCACACTTGTTTTTACATCATAAAAACCCATGTCTAGTTATTACTGTGTCCTTGGTAAATGTTCCTCATCAACGGTGAGCTTTTTCTTTTTACTGTAAATGTATATACTGTATAAACTGTTGCAGGAACTGGAAGCAGAAAAGCAGAAATTGAAGAGTGAAACTGAGGAATTGCAGAAAAAGATCAAGTTTCAACAAAAACTTCAYGATAAGGTACTTTTTTTGCTCAGTTGTTGCCCTTTAATAAAAGTTTATTATTTAATTCATGGTGAAACTAATGCTTATGCAAATTCTATCTATACAAACACAAAACTGAGGTTTTTTTAAAGCGCCTTGTGAAAGAGTCTTTAAACCAGAACTAAATTATGTTGTTTTTAAATAAAACTATTTTGAACCTCTCTTATCCACTTCCCAGCTTCAGTAGTTGCACAAACATTTCCTATTTTTTAAAGTTTTCTCCTTTGCATCTCTATTTAAGTCTTTTTAATCATCTTACAAATGCATATCTCATTTCATTATTGTAACTATGTTCCAAAATAGAGGCACAAACTCATGAATATTTGTTTCTATATAAAGGCAGGCAGAGACAATGCTGTTTTTTTGTAGAACTGATTAAAAAACTGTTTATTTTCTCTTTTAATAATTTTAAACAAAATGTAGCCGAATGTGAGTTGCATAAATATGATGTAGAAAGAGTTGTGGAAGTTTGTGGCTTTGTAGCAATTAGATGAATTGTTGTTGGAATAAATTTTTAGAACATTCCTTCATAACTGGGTCATTTAGTCTTTTTATAGCTGTTTACAGTACGAAAACTGATGAGTTTCTGAATTTTTTTCCAGCCACTATGAAACAGTTTATAGCATTTCTATTTTATGCCCATAGATAATTTTATCTCAGGAATAAAATAACTGTTCCTCCTAAAATAATTTAATCTATTTTAAAGATAAAATGTATTTTACACCGACCTGCCGATCAAAGAACCACTGTTTATTTCCAGCTTGTTTTTAAAGGTTTATAGGTGCTTTATCAGTAACACACAAACACAACATTAATCCCAGTATATTTTCTAGTTCCTGCAGACAAATGTACATTATTTCCTCTACAATCACATATATCTGTAATCTCCCTCACTATGTTTGTTCAGGAGGTTGTTGAGCTGAAGAGGACAGTACAGATGAAGGTGACGAAAGGCTCTGACCAGGTGGACAATTCCAAATCAGAACTGGCAGTGGTGCTGGACAAGATCAGGAAACAATATGAAGACATTGCTAAAGGAAACATCACTAAGGCTGAGGAGTTATACAAGCACCAGGTTACACCGATACATTTTATATTATTAGCAAATGTATTTTATCTGATTTGTTTATGTTTATCACACTCATGCTTTACATCTAACTGGGAGATTTTAGGAACCAGCATCAATTACTTTTGTAATTTACCAGTTAAACAGACATGTGACTATGCACTTTGTGCAAACATATAACCACACATTTGTCAAAGGTTTGTTATCTTACAACTGTTACTCTGTCAGATCGGAAGGTACTGGAGTTAGCCTGTATAACAGTCATGATTTAAAACAGATCAGAAGTCAACAAACACAAGCAGCTTTTCTCTAAAGCATA